TTTTAAGCAAAAACCACCTAGTTTTATTTTGCATACTGTATGTTTTTCATCTCCTGAGTCATTAACGAAATTTGGTACTGAAACAGAGCTTCTTACTTCGTAAACAATTATTTTAATTATTAAATACACTTGTACAAGTGGTATGGCTGTCTCGGACCATACCACCAAGATTAAGCATTTACTAGAATTTTTCATTAAAACACTATCAGACTCTTCACTATCACCCTACAAGCTTTTAGGCTCTTTCAGGTGTTCAGTTAGTTGCGGCACACTGCAAAAAGTGGTACACGAAAAAATAGGGAAGAGAAGAAGCGTGGCACGAAAGGTGAGCCATGTATATTGAAAAGCACCCACACTGCCATAGAACTGTTATTGAACTGCAAGAGAATAAAAAATCCTTCACTGGCAAAATTTCAAGGGAATTCAAATTCTGAAATATTATTGTAAAAGATGTGAAAATGCCAAGAGTAAATATGGTTTTTGACTGGACATAAACTTTCTTGGACCAACCATGAGTGTGGATGTGATTGAATATGACATCAGCGTTTATCAACCTGAACTATCAATATTGCAGGCCTGATCCAGTTGAATCCAAGAAAACAAAAAGTGGTATTTTGAAAAGGAGCTGACATACCAATTTTTCATTAGTTTATGTACTTACTGCAGATTTCCTGATTTGAATGAGAATGTCACAGATACAAGCTGATGAGATCCCATTTGGAACACCAGGTTCCTTAACCTCGTATGAAACGCTAAGAGCCATTTCAATCCACTCCAACAGATATTTCAACGACCCTCTCAGGGTGTTAATTCTTAAAAGCAATTCACAAGCAAGCTGTCTTCCAACATTATCAGCTGCTGAGCTTGGAGACACAACTCCCCTAAGAAATGCTGTGATCTGGTTCAAGCAATCTTGTCCCATCTCAGGAATTTTTGACTCTTGTGCCAAAGCAAGTGGAGGAATAGCAGACAAAACATCTGATGCAGTTAACAGTACATCATTACACAGCTGTCCATGATTAAGTTGCCAGGACTGACGCAATAAAGCAAATAAAAGTGACATCCCGGTTTTAACACCCATTTCTATTAGCACCGCGGAAGCATCTTTCGTTTCTGCGGCTGCAAGTTTCGTTAAACTCGTGGAATTATCCCGAGAATTATTCTTTGAAGATGAGGCTGATTTTGGTGACGAGAACTTGTGAAATTTGTTTGATAAAGCGGAAAATATCCTCTGTAACACTTGAAGTCTACGACGTAAAGCAGAATGAAAAGGAGAACTGGCGCAAACATTGCGTGCAAGTGATAACTGGCTGTATAAAATGTCATTTAGAAATTTATCTTGATCCTCGGAAGAAACGCTGGCCAGTCCCCGTTCATACTCCGGAAGATCGGGGCCTCGAATCTGTATAGGAACATGCGGTGTTGGAGGAACTTCCTTGTTGTTAAGAAGCTTTTGGTGAAGTAAAACAACACCTTGTCTTGTAGCCAACGTCTCCACATCTTCCCTCGACCATGAACCATCAAAGTGGTCCAGACAGTGTAGTTGCACAGAATTCATCCCCTGAAATCGGAGCACCAGTAACGGAACTTCGAGAAATTTACTCCAAAGGTGATGTAATCTTATGGTAAGCCAAGTAGAGACCATTTATTGGAAAAACAAGGCACGCAAAATAAAACGCGCGTACCGCCATTTTTTTCCTCGTGAGAACGCAAAGGACAGTGGGACAGGTAAAAGCTCGGCCCCATGCCCCAGTCTTGGGTTTCTGATATCAGCTATTTTTTGTGAGATTATGCAATATTATTGCCTAATCTCATAGTCATCGATCCCTTGAAGGTTTGAGGATTTTATGAAACCTGAGAATGTCTCCACAGATGAGAGTTAATAGATAATGAAAATAGCGAAAACACTTCCGATTAGAGTAAATAGTCAATGAGGATAGTGAAAACTCGAGACGAAATCGGATTGTCGCATTTACAAAGCGGCAGACAAGATGATCTTTGAAATGTAAACCACCTTTGCTTCTACTCAGATCCCTTCTAAACGGCTCAAACAGACCCAGGAACACAGGTAAATAACAGTGCATTTATTTTGTAAATGATTATGTTATTGCTGACACAGTGTTTGGGTACCCTGTGCTTTTCGCGAGCGGTGTTCAGTAAAATAAAGTTATTTGCGGTCCTGTGGTTTCTTGTTTGAGCTTTCTCAGACCTAAATTTAGCATGCAAATTTGTTAATCCGTGCTGATTTATGACAAGCACGTACGATTGTTTTTAACAAAATACAGACCAACACTGTCCAGTTAAACTTCAATATGCTTCAGCTGCCAATCCGAAGCAGTTTTCATCAATACATAACTTGACAAGTAATTTTACCTTTGCCACGATGCACCCGGAGCTGGACCGAATTTATTATTGGCTGCGTTTATTGTAATGTGTTCATTTCCTGGAAAATTGTTAACTCCGCCCGAGACAATAGAAAGTTAACCAAGGTAAAAGTTCGATTTAAACTAAGCATAAGCCGACAAGTACGAATTGCGGACCTATTTTTTATCTCCGTTCGTCACTTCACTAGCAAAGGAACATTGAACCTCGTTCCCAGGGTCCTCTCTCTACCTCGAGAAAGTAATAATAATAATAATAATAATAATAATAATAATAATAATAATAAAATATTTATATAGCGCCAATCCACTATTTGTCCATGGCGCTTTACATTAAATAAAAAAATATTTAAAAAGCTAAAAAAGGGGAGGGGAAAAAAAATTTAAAAAATCATCTAAAAATTAAAAGAGTTAAAAGGCTTGTTTAAAAAGATATGTTTTTAAATGCCGTTTAAAAATGTCAATCGAACAACGGGATCTTAGTTCAAGTGGGATCGAGTTCCATAGTCTCGGTGCCGCCACAGTAAATGCTCTCTCTCCATATGTTTTCAGTCTAGCTTTCGGGGTCGCCAGAAGATGTTGAGAGGACGATCTTAATTTCCGTTGAGAGGTGTTGTACTTAAGTAATTCACTGATGTAGTAAGGCGCTGTTTCATTGAGAGCTTTGTAAACCAGTAGGAGAATTTTAAAAATCATACATTTAATTATAAAATTAAAGTACCCTGTGTTAGTTTTGAAATGCCGATCATTTATCAATTTCCCATGCAACTTCCTACTGATTTATTATCAGTTATTATTCAAGCCAAGTACGTGATTTCAAAATCAAAACTTTCATAAAATCGTGATTTTCACACGTATGTAATGGTTCTAGAATTTTTGCCGCCAGGAAGTTGTCTTTATTGTGGGCGCTACGTTTCTCACAACGCCCTAGTTTTTCCACGTAGCATAGGCAATAAAAGACGACGCGCAAGTTCTTTTAGTCAGAGATTGTTAGTAAAGTTACACCGCTACCGTGCTACGACCAGAGGATCCAAGTTATCGCTATTTCAAGTGCATTTCGCTGTCTCTCTGCTACCTTTTGGTGCGAGTCGTCAACCAAAGTACGTAAGTTCTTATTGTTGTAGTTATTTGCTAAGTCGCGAATTGTTAGTCTTTTCTTTGTCACGAAAAGATTTCATTTAGTTTATCCAGGTTTTGTTGAAATCGCTTTCACAGCTTTACTATTGCTAAGGCTTATAGTCAAGTTGTTTTATTAGTCCAATTGTCATATGATTACTAAATTGTGTTTCTTTCACGCTATATTTAGCTGTTTTGCAAGATAGCCGTTATATCTTCGTTTGCTACGACAAGAGTTGTTATCGTCTCAGTTTTATTAGTTTCAGGTATCAATTGTCACGTCTATTTGTTTCACGCTATGATCTTGTTAGTTTTATTATGATTGTTCTATCCTGTTAGATTTGTATTTTATGCCTTATCTAAGTGGGACGTATTCTTAACTATCGCTTTTCAGTTCGAACCTACTACATCTACTTGTACGACTACTACTCCTATTCGTATCTGCTACCACTAGCGATCTACTGGTTTTCGCTATTTCTTCAGTCGCTACCTATTGTGAACTACATCTATGGACTTGATCTGTCATTAAATCAGTTTGAATCTACCAAGTGGAGTTCGAATATCTTGCACCGCGCTACCCTGTAGTTGTTTAAGATTTGAGTAAGAAGCTGTGAATTACAAGGACAGAATATAGCAGGCCAAAATCCAAGTAATCACATGCGTAGAGCAGTGCGTAGTGTTAAAACGAACTCGACAAGAACTTCTGACTACGATGTAAACAGAGTTTAATTGACAGAGATCAATGTTCCATACAAACTCTATTGAAATGAATCACGTGCCAAGACGAAGGTAGAATTAAACCACGTGCTGTAAGCTTAGCCGTAAGTCGTATGATGTAAACCGTATGCCGGTTCGAACTGAAATACAATAACGAAAATAGAAGCTAACGTAACTAAACATACCGAAGTATAAAGATAAAATAATATAAATGAAGAAACTATCGCTAACATTCTCAATAACGTCCGTAACATGGAAGTGTAACATAATCGGCACTTATACTGATGGTACGGAAGGCTAGAAAACGATTAATAGGCTACACGGTGTCTAACTTGGACGGTACTTTTATGGCAAAATAACCCTATATTGGAGATATGGACCTAATCAAGCGCGATTCCGAGCA